AAACCTAATTAACATCAAATTACGTTAGAATCTCTATAGTCACATGTTCTGCGTATAAAAGTGGATATGAGAGCACTGAAGTGACAAATTCTCCTTTACTCATACAGATTATTAGTATTTCACACGTCTACACACACTCATACTTTTGAGAAGGAATATCATTTTATTTCATAAATCATTTTCAGAAATTCTTTGGTGTCAATTGAGGTAAGAATACATGGTGCAAGTGATAAATTCTTATTCCTTGATATATATGTAAATTTTGGCATGAGATACTTTAAGGCCTTCGGGTCGAATGCTATGTTAAATCCTTCGGGATAGACCATTAGGTCAAAGAGAAGAAGTTAAATCCTTCGGGATAGACCGTCAGGTCAAAGAAAAGAAATTAAATCCTACGGGATATGGGGATTCTTAAGAAATTCCTGAGAAATGTTGGTATGTTATGCTATTTTTTATATTTATATCATGTGAAAAAGGATGTGCACATATTCTTACTGAGTGTTTTCAAAATACTCACTCTTACAATATTTTCAGATAAGAACGGGTCGAGAGGACGTGTGGAAGATTGACGGAGCGATGCTAATGCGGTCGTCAAGTAAAATTTCTAGAAAAGACAATAGTCAATTTATATAAAGAATATCTTTGTGTTAATATTTATGCACGATATTTATTATGTTGTTTAATAATTTGAAATCAAATATTTTCGATATATTTCCGCCTAAATTAGATAGAGAAAAGTTTTGGTAGCACCTTGAGCTCATTTTTATTTAAAAAATAACAATAATAATGAAAAAGAGTTCGAGGCGTTACAGCTTTCACATCTATAACACTTTCATATCATTGTTCAAGAGATCCAAGGTGCAATTCATTAGTGAATCTATCATATTCATTCTTGTGATCCGACAACCAAGTTTTGGAAAAGCATTACATCTTCATAATCTAAAATACCTGACTTCCTTAATTCATTGGGGAAGAGACTCTCTTATTGGGAGATTGATAGAGGTGGATTGAAGCACAGTTACAAGTACAAGAACAGGCAGTTCTTGGTGTTCCACTTGGAGAGACATTCAGCATAAACTAGAAGGCCTTAGGAAATAGCATATTGAGCTGCAAGAGGTAGATCATAAAGTCTAGTAGGAGGCTAGAGGCATCTACAATAGCAGGAGGCTATAAGAGATAGATCAAGAGGTCTAGCAGGCTAGAGGTATCTATGGCAGTAGATCGTGAGACAGTGATAGCGGGTCTTAGTTGATACAAGAGTTGGAATTACTGTGTATTCCTTGAACTAGCTTGATCCTATAGTTTTTCCCATGTTGGGTTTCTCCGTCTTCAAATTTTATGTTCTTTACTTTCCAGTAATTTATTACAAACTGTGGCATTCAAACATAAGGCTTATTAAATTGTATGCTTAATCATT